AATCTCTCCATAGACGGCTCCATAATAATACGTGTTAAAACAACTAAGTTTCTAGGTGTGCTGATTGATGATAAACTGAACTGGAAACCTCACATCGAATCACTAAATAAGAAACTAAGAAGTGCTTGTGGACGTATTTACCGCATAAAAAACTGTCTACCTATAAAACTGCACAAGCAGATATACCACACACTATTTGAATCACACCTTACGTTCGCCATCTCAGTATGGGGTGGTGTCTCTAACCAAGTTATCAACCCTGTATTCTTAACACAAAAGAGATGTATTAGAATAATTTTTGGAGATGCAAACTCATACCAAAACAAATTCAAAACATGTGCTCGTTCTAGACCTATTCAATGTAAAATACTGGGTAAATATGAGTCTAATGTTAATAACTCTGTTAATCCACGTATTAAACCATGTGCAAAGTGTGTCCGCTCTAAATCGGTAGTTCATAATAAACTTGTTAGACCCTTATGTTGTCAAAAACTAGGAGCTGAATTCTATTCCAAGGAATCAACCAAACCATTATTTAACAGTCATAAACTCCTTACTGTTCAAAATCTTTACAAACTTCGTACTATAACTGAACTTTTTAAAATAGTGAAATATAGGGTACCCATATCTCTCTACTCTTTACTTAACATGTCTGAACTGAGGGATGATCGTCTAATACCACCAAAGCCAAGCCATAACTTTATTTATAAATCTTCTTGGCTTTGGAATCAATTCAAGGACTCCAATCCACAGAATAAACCTGACTTTGTGAACACATCCTGTAACTCAATCAAATCAAGGCTAAACCGATCTCTTCTAGATGCCCAAAGCAGGTTCGATAATGAGTGGCATAATGACAACTTTAACAGTTTTGGACCATGCTAGATTATTGATAAAAACGTGGAATTTATGTAAACAAATACTTAATTACTTAAATATTGCCGTTTCTGTACGGCGCTATACGTAATATATGTTAAAAGCGCGCCGCAGCTACTCAAGACTTCAACATTTGCGCGGGTTTCTTAAGCGCGCACGAACGTTTATTCTTGGCCGTTAATCAGACCCATGACATAACGCTACAGATGGCAGTGACTGTAATTTTCTTCAACAATTACTGAATTATCCATCCATAAAGTGATTTACAAAATGACATCTAAACCTCGTGTTTCGGTGTTCACTTAAACGGTACTTGGCGGCTGAACTGTGGTGTCTGACGTTTGCAGCTAGATCGGACTCTGCATGATATTGTATTAGCAAATTTGTATAGTGTATAATTGTTTAGTGTTTATAATACTCTGCAACCTGGTAGCACGGCTGACACAAAAACAAAATGTTGGCCTGGCTTGTGCATAACCAAGTAAATAACACGCACTCCGATAAAAAGCCGTCTGGAGAAACTCCGCAAAATGTTCATTGTAGTCAACGGGCACAAAGAAGCACTACTAGCAATTGTGTCCTTTACCCTCCTACATAATTTGAACATTTTTGTGGCTAACTCATTGAACAACATCTGAATTAAAATGTGTCTAGTATTAAAAGATTCAGTAAGTAATTTTTCATGTACGCTGTACACTGTAGTTAGTAAATCAAATCAAACTTTTTCGATCAGCCGCGCGCTGAACCAGTGTTGCACTAGGTAAAAATTGTGTATATTTTGTTCATTTTTGAGTGTAAATTAATTTATTAATTTATCCCAAATTATTTTATTATAATATAACCACTTATGTGAAATGGTTATTTTGACTTTAAATATTTGAACTAAATATGAATTGATTGTGGGTATAAAATAAAATTTGTTTTAAAAAATTTGTTTTAAAAAAGGATGTTTTTAGAAGGGCATCAATAACTGCTCTTGCTGACATAATAACAACAGAACGGCTGTGTTGGTTTGGACATGTCAGTAGAATGCCTGAAGATCGGCTGCCCAACTATCTACTTGAATTGAAACCCAAGCATGGGAAGAGATCAAGAGGCAGGCCTAGGAAGAGCTTAAATGATTATTTATTGAGGATGCTGAGCAGAGATTGGATCGGAATGGACTCATGATTGATTGTATGAGAAGATTAGCTGCAGATCGAAAGGGATGGAGAAATGTTACCCGCCGAAGTTGTATAATACAAAGTAATGACACAGTCGAAACAGACTAATCCTTTTGGATGGAGATCTCGTCATGTAACATGTATGTAGATACATACCTACACACTTCACATCATGCACCTTTTCACCGTTGTAGTATTCCATGCTCATGTATCATGTTTAGTATATATATTTAGTCTTGTAGTAGTTTTAGGACTGTAGTAAGTGTAAAGTGTAAACCTAACATTAACAAGAGAGATGAGTTAGAAACCATTAAACGTTTTTCAGTTACAAGTACATAATAACAGGGTGTAACATATTTTATACTTTACAGACAGGGGATCGTCTACACATGTAGTGATATTCAGTGATATTTATAGGTTTTGTTTACTTTCTCAGTACAGGGACCACCTCTCACACACACACACTTCTGCCTTGCATTCGACACACTAACCCTTAGCCTCAATCAAACCATATTTGGCTCCCACGTTTCGCACTTCTCATTGGTCAATACCATTCCCGCCATTTTTTCTCCACACACTTCACATCATGCACCTGTTCCCCCTTGTAGCATTCCATGCTTATGTATCATGTGTAGTATATTTAGTCTTGTAGTAGTTTTAGGACTGTACAGTAATTACTATAAAAGTTTGTCGTCGTATGAACTAATCAATTTTGTTATGAATTTTTGTTATGACTTTTTTTGTATCGCATTTTTGGATAAAGTTGATTGACAAATTTTAAAAAATAAATTGATGTACACAAATTTTGCCTCAGATATATGTTTTTAACGTTTTTAATTTTTAAAAGAAATATTTTTAGATCATGAATACGATTTTGTAACATTGAAACGTTGAGTAAATTCCTTTCCTGATAAGAGCATTTTTCCTTGTCGCATCAAACAGGATCAATATAATTTTACACAGAATACATTGCAACCATGCGACTCATAAAGGGATAAACAATACTCCAATCCGGATTTTACACTGCAGTATTCATTTATGAATTATGTTATGTTCGGTATTCATAGTACATGTCATAGTTTCATGGAATGAATAAATTAAAAGTTGAATTTTGGTCATTACATTTTGGCTAAATTTGTGCCAATGAAAAATTGTTGGAATTTTCACAAATCATGCAGTAGTTAAACTTATTTACTAATCACTCCTAAAATTAGCGTTTTTGAGTATATGTTGTGCATGAGTCGGCCATTGCGAACAATTTGCTGACCTTTTGAAGTTTGACCTTTACTTTTACTCAGTCCTCCTTCTCCTTCTTTTCTAAAGAAACAGTAATTATGAAAAATTGCCCTTTGGTAAGGCACAAATATGCTGCTGGCCAGGCCCATTAAGAGAGCTGCCCGATAAAGTAGATCATTCTCCAATTTTATTAGGTGTTTCTGGACACAAAGTGAGTCATCTCACTTCGAAAACCGAAAAAATATTTTCGGCTAATAATGATCAGGGTAGCATGAAACATGAACAAAAGTAGTTTCCAGAAAAACTAATAATGTCCCAAAAAACAAGTCCGTTGTCTCATAGAATCCTAAAAGGACAGGACATACACGGACATGTCACCCCCCCCCTGAGTAGCAGTAGGATTTGTAACCTTGATTTGTGGGAAGAGACTGAGTAACAGTAGGTGTTGTAGTTTAGTACTTACTCTTCTACTATTCAATACACTTAAACTATTATAGTACCTACAATAGGTGTTGTAGTTTAGTACTTACTCTTCTACTATTCAATACACTTAAACTATTATAGTACCTACAATAGGTGTTGTAGTTTAGTACTTACTCTTCTACTATTCAATACACTTAAACTATTATAGTACCTACAATACCTATATATATTATTATAGTATCTACAGTACCTATATATATTATTATAGTATCTACAGTACCTAAGCTATGTATTATAGTACTGTATTGGATATTGATAATATTCACTGATAATTGATAATACCTACAGTAAAACTCCGATTTACCACAAAGGCGTTATTAGTGTTGTGCTAGTGTTGGAATTCCCCAATCGAATCAAACGAATGGAACCGGAACCTATATTTCAAACTACACGAGAAAACCTTATTCAATTTCCTCCTGCTCTGATATTTCGTTTATTTTGATCCTCGTATACGTTTATTTACTTTCTTATTTCTCGTGTCTATATAATGCTCCTACATTCACGTGCAATATTTAAACAGTGATGTCATGCTTGACACTTTCTGAATGTTTCTTAGATAATATGCTTGATCATATGATAAGTATGCTTGACAATTATTGAGTGTTCCACAGTTCGAGAACGTTTTCCACGTCACGATGACGTTTGTAGTTGTGGTGAACATTATTGTCAATATCATGCAATAAAAACTTCACAGTAACATGACAGTAACATGATTACTTTAGTCGGACCTATTCGGGAGTTCTGGTGAACTAAATTGTAAATTGTAACGACGTCACGTGGTCAACCATTTCAGGTTAACTACATAGCATTCATGGAACATATGTTTGGAATGCACTCGTTTGCAATTAGAAAATTTCGACGGGGAAATTACGATGCTTGACTGCAGTTGAGTGTCTAAATAGACACTGAGTGTTTTTGTTAATAAAAATATTATTAATTCCCCCCCCCCCCCCTCCCCCATAATATTACCGACTAAAGTATTAAACATCTTTCAGATACTGATCATATCTGTTCATCAGTCAGGTTGGCGGCAGCTTCAATGCAGTCATGGTTTATATGGCTCGTGAGGCAAAACGACAATCAGAATACGTTTTTCCTCGATACTTGATCGTCTCCAGTAGCGCTATCACATCAACAATGATTAAAATTGACCTTGGACCCCCCCCCACCCCTCTAGCTCTCTGGCTTTAAGTTATACCAATGATAATCATATTTTGAAAATTAACAATGTAACTTTAATCTAAGTATGGCTATGATGTTAGAAAACTACCACTCATCTCTGAAAAATCATGGAGCAATGAATAAAAGACAGGTGAATAAATTGTTATGTTGATATTATATTAATCAATGATATGTCAACTAATCAGGGGTGCACCCTGATCAGTTGACAGGTGCACCCTGATTAGTTGAAAGGTGCACCCTGATTAGTTGACAGGTGCACCCTGATTAGTTGACAGGTGCACCCTGATTAGTTGACAGGTGCACCCTGATTAGTTGACAGGTGCACCCTGATTAGTTGACAGGTGCACCCTGATTAGTTGACAGGTGCACCCTGATTAGTTGACAGGTGCACCCTGATTAGTTGACAGGTGCACCCTGATTAGTTGACAGGTGCACCCTGATCAGTTGACAGGTGCACCCTGATTAGTTGACAGGTGCACCCTGATTAGTTGACAGGTGCACCCTGATTAGTTGACAGGTGCACCCTGATTAGTTGACAGGTGCACCCTGATCAGTTGACAGGTGCACCCTGATTAGTTGACAGGTGCACCCTGATTAGTTGACAGGTGCACCCTGATTAGTTGACAGGTGCACCCTGATTAGTTGACAGGTGCACCCTGATCAGTTGACAGGTGCACCCTGATTAGTTGACAGGTGCACCCTGATTAGTTGACAGGTGCACCCTGATTAGTTGACAGGTGCACCCTGATCAGTTGACAGGTGCACCCTGATCAGTTGACAGGTGCACCCTGATCAGTTGACAGGTGCACCCTGATTAGTTGACAGGTGCACCCTGATCAGTTGACAGGTGCACCCTGATTAGTTGACAGGTGCACCCTGATTAGTTGACAGGTGCACCCTGATTAGTTGACAGGTGCACCCTGATTAGTTGACAGGTGCACCCTGATTAGTTGACAGGTGCACCCTGATTAGTTGACAGGTGCACCCTGATCAGTTGACAGGTGCACCCTGATTAGTTGACAGGTGCACCCTGATTAGTTGACAGGTGCACCCTGATTAGTTGACAGGTGCACCCTGATTAGTTGACAGGTGCACCCTGATCAGTTGACAGGTGCACCCTGATTAGTTGACAGGTGCACCCTGATTAGTTGACAGGTGCACCCTGATTAGTTGACAGGTGCACCCTGATCAGTTGACAGGTGCACCCTGATTAGTTGACAGGTGCACCCTGATTAGTTGACAGGTGCACCCTGATTAGTTGACAGGTGCACCCTGATTAGTTGACAGGTGCACCCTGATTAGTTGACAGGTGCACCCTGATTAGTTGACAGGTGCACCCTGTTTAGTTGACAGGTGCACCCTGATTAGTTGACAGGTGCACCCTGATTAGTTGACAGGTGCACCCTGTTTAGTTGACAGGTGCACCCTGATTAGTTGACAGGTGCACCCTGATTAGTTGACAGGTGCACCCTGATTAGTTGACAGGTGCACCCTGATCAGTTGACAGGTGCACCCTGATTAGTTGACAGGTGCACCCTGATTAGTTGACAGGTGCACCCTGATTAGTTGACAGGTGCACCCTGATTAGTTGACAGGTGCACCCTGATTAGTTGACAGGTGCACCCTGATCAGTTGACAGGTGCACCCTGATTAGTTGACAGGTGCACCCTGATTAGTTGACAGGTGCACCCTGATTAGTTGACAGGTGCACCCTGATTAGTTGACAGGTGCACCCTGATCAGTTGACAGGTGCACCCTGATTAGTTGACAGGTGCACCCTGATTAGTTGACAGGTGCACCCTGATTAGTTGACAGGTGCACCCTGATCAGTTGACAGGTGCACCCTGATTAGTTGACAGGTGCACCCTGATTAGTTGACAGGTGCACCCTGATTAGTTGACAGGTGCACCCTGATTAGTTGACAGGTGCACCCTGATTAGTTGACAGGTGCACCCTGATTAGTTGACAGGTGCACCCTGTTTAGTTGACAGGTGCACCCTGATTAGTTGACAGGTGCACCCTGATTAGTTGACAGGTGCACCCTGTTTAGTTGACAGGTGCACCCTGATTAGTTGACAGGTGCACCCTGATTAGTTGACAGGTGCACCCTGATTAGTTGACAGGTGCACCCTGATCAGTTGACAGGTGCACCCTGATTAGTTGACAGGTGCACCCTGATTAGTTGACAGGTGCACCCTGATTAGTTGACAGGTGCACCCTGATTAGTTGACAGGTGCACCCTGATTAGTTGACAGGTGCACCCCTATATATATAACCTCTGCAACATGATATTCACCCCTCACAGATTGGAGATAAAAGTAAGATTCCCGTAATGTTGCACCAACACCCCTCAACAACTCTCCGAAAACACTCTCTCATTAGAACAGAATACCAAGGTTAGGGGGTGCACTACCTACCCAAGGTTAATTAATAACTCGCCATCCATCCGTAAGCCTTTCCATTTTCGATATGAAGGAAACTATGGAAATTGTAACTTGGTGAAACTTATAATAGTGACATAGTAGTAGTACTTATTGTGCGACGTGCGTTTCAGAACTCTCTCCATTTTCACTATAACATAAGGAGAGTGAGTTCACACCACGTGACGTCACATCATTCAGGCGATGGAGTTACAGCACCTCAGTTCTCCATCAGAAGTGTAAACAAAGTGCTGTCCGGAGGAAAGAGGACCGACAGGAGAAAACTTTCTGATGATTTTGTGGTTCGATTTTTGTGCTCTTTTCTCTTAGAATATTAATTGCTTATCGCTTCCTTATTATCAATTTGGCTTTTTGAATTTTCGGTGAAATAATCGCAAAAACAATTCTGAAATTCACCTTTTAGTTTGGTCTGTTCTTATCGGTCAATAAAATGTTCAAACAAACCAGATAAGACGGCAGGATTCAGAAAGGCAAAGTAATCTGCTGTCCAGTTTGTCAATGGAATACATCAACTCTTCTAACGTCCTCTGCTGTGTTAGGGACTCGAATGAACTCTTACAGGCTAAACTGGTATGTGGTGGTGTAAAGGTGGTGGTAAATGTGGTGGTAAAGGTGGTGTGCCGTCACATGATTACTCAAATTGAAAATCTTGGGCTCAGCTATTTTTGTCGTCAATTCGTTGCTAATTTTTCTATTTTCTTTATATTGTAATTACTCGTCAGGCAAGTTCCAGCTCTAGATTAGTTGAGAGGATAAACGACCAAGCGGAAGTGCTTTACAATGATATCCAGCACCCAAAAGCTTTCAAACATCCTACAAACAATATCTCACAGATTAAGGTAGGATTGGGCCACTCTTGTCTGACAGCGACTCCGAAGCTAGGTTTTTTGGACAATGGTTTATGTTGGATCCTGATTTAAAACTTTTACAAATAGTACATATACAATACAGCAATGAGAATTTTTTTTAAACGACATCATGAGGCATTATCCTGGGTGAAAGTTGTAGACCATATTGTATAAATACTAAAAGCATGGGTATCCTACTATATTATTGTGTAAATACTAAAAGCATGGGTATCCTACTATACGATTTTCTTGAAACTTTCCATAAAGTATGATGGTTATAGGACGGATCATCTGTTTAACTGTAAGTTTGGGCGAATTTCTTTATGCCAATTTGAGATATCACCTTAAACACAAAAAATATCTCCAAATCAGTGGTTTGCAGTGGTACCAAGGCATATATCATAATATCATATCACACTCCTATTATCCCTCCCAAGTCGCCAGACTCCCTCATGCGTTGTCACACTCCCTCATGCGTTGTCACACTCTCTCATGCGTTGTCACACTCCCTCATGCGTTGTCACACTCTCTCATGCGTTGTCACACTCTCTCATGCGTTGTCACACTCTCTCATGCGTTGTCACACTCTCTCATGCGTTGTCACACTCTCTCATGCGTTGTCACACTCTCTCATGCGTTGTCACACTCTCTCATGCGTTTTCACACTCTCTCATGCGTTGTCACACTCTCTCATGCGTTGTCACACTCCCTCATGCGTTGTCACACTCCCTCATGCGTTGTCACACTCTCTCATGCGTTGTCACACTCTCTCATGCGTTGTCACACTCTCTCATGCGTTGTCACACTCTCTCATGCGTTATCACACTCCCTCATGCGTTGTCACACTTTCAGGTAAAGCCCAGTAAGAAGAATAAGACCAGTTACACGGAGATGTATTTGGCTAAACAGCAGCAATTGGATAAGCAACTTGACAGAAAGAAGTGTGCCAATATTTCAAAGCAGAGGTGTGAGAATGAAAGACAGTTCATCAGTCCAGAAATTAGAAATTATCACGGTCAGTATTAGTCAGATCATTTTTTTATTTCAAAATTCAAATAAACTTTACATCAATGTATTACAGTTATATTCAATAAAAAGACCAAAATATCTCCTGTGAAGCAAAAACATGGAAAAAGAGAGCTAGAAAAATATTCATGATACTCAACACTACCAGACTCAGCTGGAGTGAGAAACAATATGTAAAAACATTAAGGTAAAATTTATTTCGGCTGAACCAAAACACGGTGGTAAGACCATAATAACATTGGTGCCGACCCTACATAAAATCATTAATAAATAATCAAGAGAAAAAATTTAAATGTATACGATACCTTCTTGCTACTACTCCACAAACTTACACGACATAACAACAAAATAACATAATTAAATAATATTATAATAAAACAATCTACAATCTAGCCACTCACGTACTGCGTGACGCGCTTGTTTAGGGTTGTTTCATAAAAGAAAAAACGGCGCGTTCTACTGCAGGTGCGAGGGGCAAATTATAGAGAGTATGACATTCATAAAGTAAAATATATATATAATAATATTCCATGATGGGCCATCTAATCAGGCCAGCATAAGTCAGAAGACCAGAGAAATTCAGTTAGCTTTGTTTTGAAAATAGAAATTTTCTCAGTCTGTCTAACATAGGCTGGCAGTGCATTCCACAGAAGCATTGTTCTATAAAAGAAGCTGTTTCTGAAACTATCGCAGTTTGGTACAATAGAGCAGGTATATGTGCTGGTGTCAAGTCCTTCAATGACTGATGCCGTGCTCCTTGTGTACCTCATTGTTCCAGCTTCAACAACAGTAATATATTCAGGTAGAGATATACTTACCAAGTCATTTACTATTTTATAGAAGAGCGTAATTGAATTATGGATGAACTTAGATCTAATGGGTAGAATTTTAAGCTCCTTCTGCTTCTCATAGAATTCAATATCACTATAATGATCAAACTGTTGTCCATTGATCCATTTGATCGCTCTTTTCTGGATTGCCTCAAACTTCGACATGTGTGTCGATCGCTGAGGACACCATATAACTGAGCAATGTTCAAAGATTGATCTTACAATGGTAAGGTAGAAAGCCCTCTTTTGGCGTTTATCCATGGTAAAATGACAGGTTCTCTTTAAGAGCCCAAGCTTTGAGCTTGCTTTAGATATCAATTGATCACAATGTGCACCCCACAGAAATCTGTTGTTCATTATTACACCAAGGTCTGTATGGGATGCCACATAATCAATTATGACTTCATTAAGATTATACCAATAAATATTAAAAGGGAGATTGTCTAATACATTTCTTTGCAGAGTTACAGATAACACCTTACACTTTGAAGGGTGAAAAGTCATTTTGTTATCGATTGACCAGGCAAACAACCTGTCTATATCTCCTTGGAGAATATAGTGGTCTTCAAAGCATTCGATGACCCTCCAAATTTTGGTGTCATCTGCATACAATGCTACATTTGTATCCTCCGAAACACACGAGAACATGTCGTTGATGAATAGAACAAACAGAAGTGGTCCCAGAATAGATCCCTGGGGCACTCCTGATTGCACGGGAAGCATGCTTGAGACAGCTCCGCCTACAACAACCTGCTGTCGTCTGTCTTGTAGATATGACTTTAAAAATCTAAGCATCAGACCATCAATACCATATAAATTTTTTAGCTTGCGAAGGATTAAGTCATGTGATACACTGTCAAATGCCTTAGCAAAATCAAAATAAACAATGTCGGATCTTGACTTATTGTTCAGGGCCAGTGCAAGGTTGTCTGTGAGTGGGACCATCTGGGTAGTGCAAGACTTCCCATTCACAAAACCGTGTTGTCTACAGTCGATTAACCCTTCACAAGCTGCGAGCAACTCTTTCGAAATACAACGTTCAAAAACTTTCATAACTAAGCATGTCAGTGAGATGGGTCTGTAATTTTCAACAGATCCTTTTTCACCCTTCTTGTGTACCGGAACAACAGAAGCAAGCTTCCATTCCTCCGGCACACATCCAGTCACAAAAGAGGTGTTGAAAATCATGGTTAGAGGCTTTGCAAGAGTGCTCGCACAATTTTTTAACACAGTGCCATGGATACCATCTGGACCTGCGGCTTTACCCGGTTTAACCCCTTTTAAAATTAACAAAACATCCAACACGTGAAATCTCAAATCCATGAAGTTGTTACTGGAGCTCATGTCGATGTCAATGTCATATGAGCTACTTGAGGAGAATTGTTGATAGAAGTATTCATTGAATAAGCTAGCCTGTTCAACTGGTGTGTTCCTAAAACGATCACCATATCGGACCGTTTCAGGTATCCTAGTCGACTTAGACTTTGATTTCACGTGTATCCAAAACTTTTTGGAAATAAGGGCAGAATCAGAATCATCTTCGACACTGAGTCTCATCTTTTCGTTCATTATGCGTTTAAAATCTTTGCGGTACTGACGGAACTTTTCAAGATCAGACTCATTGCCAGATTCATTAGCCTTTTCTCTCCATTTCTCTTTATCTCTCAGAACCCTATCACAATCAGAGTCATACCAAGGCGGCTGAAACTCACACTTAACACTTTTCTTTGGGATATATTCATTGCAGAGTTTAATCAGAACATCTTTGAAAAGAGGCCAGGAAATGTGTGGATCATGAGACCCAGCCACATTATCCCAATTGACCCGCCTCAGAGCAAAGTTCAAGCCGTCCCAATTGGCTTTGGTATAGTTATATACTTTGCGTTTAGGAGACTTTCTGCGGCTGACATTGAAGTTTATCCCAAAGTTGATACCAAAGTGGTCAGATAAGCACGCCTCATTATGATCCAGTATTTTTAAATTGGTAATAATATTAGGGACATTTGTGAACAGTAAATCAAGCACATTCCCTGCTTTATGTGTAGGTTCATTAATTAGTTGAGTGTGTTTCTTATTGCTGTTCGATTTAACAGTTTTCATAATATCTACAGTTTAAATTTAACCATATTTCCCGGGAAAGACTTAATAAAACGAAATATTGAAACCAATTCTTGCTCTCAAATTAAGTTGAAATCTCGCGTTTTTTAGCTAGGTCATTTTATTCGAGCTTTTCATTTACAATTAAAACAAGTCCTTTATATTTTGAAGCCAAGCTGTGAACTGGCTTCACCTGGTTAAAGCACTTCCATTACATAGTACTCAATAAACGTAGTAAATTGTAGTTTACAAAAATTAAGTCGAAGTTGTGAAAATAGTAAAATCTGGGCAAATTTTAGATATTTTTTGCCAAAACCTAAATTTTTTGCCAAAAACTAAATTTCAAAAGATGTTCGGGGTAAGGACAAAAGGAAATTGCAGCATGTGCGGAATCGCGATTTTTCATCTTTGCCGCGACAAATCGCGGTTTTTCAGATCCTGGCCTCGCGACAAATTGCGCATTTTCCTTTAAATCCAAATTCGCGTATTTTCCTTCAAATCTGCAGGCCAAATATCACGTTTTCTATAAGTATATGAAACCAATCACATCCACAGCCTTCCGAATGTAGGTACGAACTTCGAAAACCGAAAAAATATTTTCGGCTCATAATGATCAGGGTAGCATGAAATATGAACAAAAGTAGTTTCCAGAAAAATTTTTAGAAACCTAAATTAAAAAGTTGGCCCTTGTTGCCCAAATTTTATGTGGGGGGGGGCGCTTCCTACACCCCTGGGACTCATGATCCGCGGATTACATTAAATCAATTCCCTCTGTAACGTCCTCAATAAATGTGTTTAATTGTGACGATAGTTTACTTGAACTCTTTAATAGCTTATAAATTATATTTTATATATCGTTGTGGTTTTTTCTAAAGGACGAATGTCAAATTTTACTATGGCTTAAAACAAAGGTCTAATAGATAGAGGTCTATAACATCCCAATCAGTTTGAAGCTCTATCGTGCTTAGTTTAGATTTTCAAAGGGCGAATGTTATACATTGGGAGTTTGATAATAGTGTTCGAATATATAACGTACTGTATGCTCGTATGCTGCAAACATTCGTCGTGTTTTTTTTTGGAAGGGCGAATGTCACACAAAAAAGTCATTCTTTAAACTTGATCGGCCATTCGAAATTTTTTGACGATATACTTCTTCTCCGGGATCAAGGTGTATACACAAGTGCTTTAGCCTTCCGGGTGGATATAGATATACAGTAGTTACTGGTTACACTGAGATATACAGCACGCCCGAGTAACTGTATATTATATAGATATACAGTAGTTACTGGTTACACTGAGATATACAGTATATTATATAGATATACAGTTACTATGGTTACTACGCCCGAGTAACTATATATTATATCCACGATCGGGAGCTTTTCTTTGAAAAATAACTTTTTTCTTACTAAACCTCACTTCAATATTATAATTAAAAATCTGACTATGGTGCATTACCAGTACTCTTTTTCTCAGGAGAGGAGGGAACAGAAAGTAAAATATCTACATACCCGCACACTTTACCCAGTGCAATGTGCACTATCTCTGGCGGAGGAGAGTTCCCGGCACTATACGGAGGTTACTCTGCCTTACCCCCCATCCATACCACGCAGGAACCAGGTAACTATACGGAGGTTACTCTGCCTTACCCCCCATCCATACCACGCAGGAGCCAGGTAACTATACGGAGGTTACTCTGCCTTACCCCCCATCCATACCACGTAGGAACCAGGTAACTATACGGAGGTTACTCTGCCTTACCCCCCATCCATACCACGCAGGAACCCGGTAAGCTCACCAGCTTTCCAATCTTGCTGCATCGGCCGTGTTGCCGAACTGATCGGACTGAGCCTCCATATGCATCAGTAGCTTAAGAGATGAATTAGTTTGAACGAGAATTTCAGAGAGGAAATCACTGGTGTTGTCGTGTCGTATGTGAACAAACCCTCCTCTCTTGCAGTTCAATGCGTGGCATGCTTCGAGAAAAAGGAATGCATATTGTAGTCTCTTGGTAAAATTTCAGGGAATTTACTTTCAGGGTTGAAATATTCTAGCCATAAATCCAGCAAGATTTTGTTGTGCTAATTTAGGGAACAAATTCCCAGAAATTTTGAAAATACGCTTTTAGCAGTGTTATAGTATAGTGTACATAGACTATAGAGTATAGATTTCAAATAGGGTGCAAGGAAAGAGGACCTAGAATATAGATTTCAAATAGGGTGCAAGGAAAGAGGACCTAGAGTATAGATCTCAAATAGGGTGCAAGGAAAGAGGACCTAGAGTATAGATCTCAAATAGGGTGCAAGGAAAGAGGACCTAGAGTATAGATCTCAAATAGGGTGCAAGGAAAGAGGACCTAGAGTATAGATTTCAAATAGGGTACAAGGAAAGAGGACCTAGAGTATAGATTTCAAATAGGGTGCAAGGAAAGAGGACCTAGAATATAAATTTCAAATAGGGTGCAAGGAAAGAGGACCTAGAATATAGATTTCAAATAGGGTGCAAGGAAAGAGGACCTAGAATATAGATTTCAAATAGGGTGCAAGGAAAGATGACCTAGAATATAGATTTCAAATAGGGTGCAAGGAAAGAGGACCTAGAGTATAGATTTCAAATAGGGTACAAGGAAAGAGGACCTAGAGTATAGATTTCAAATAGGGTGCAAGGAAAGAGGACCTAGAATATAAATTTCAAATAGGGTGCAAGGAAAGAGGACCTAGAATATAGATTTCAAATAGGGTGCAAGGAAAGAGGACCTAGAATATAGATTTCAAATAGGGTGCAAGGAAAGAGGACCTAGAGTATAGATCTCAAATAGGGTGCAAGGAAAGAGGACCTAGAGTATAGATTTCAAATAGGGTACAAGGAAAGAGGACCTAGAGTATAGATTTCAAATAGGGTGCAAGGAAAGAGGACCTAGAATATAAATTTCAAATAGGGTGCAAGGAAAGAGGACCTAGAATATAGATTTCAAATAGGGTGCAATGAAAGAGGACCTAGAATATAGATTTCAAATAGGGTGCAAGGAAAGATGACCTAGAATATAGATTTCAAATAGGGTGCAAGGAAAGAGGACCTAGAGTATAGATTTCAAATAGGGTACAAGGAAAGAGGACCTAGAGTATAGATTTCAAATAGGGTGCAAGGAAAGAGGACCTAGAATATAAATTTCAAATAGGGTGCAAGGAAAGAGGACCTAGAATATAGATTTCAAATAGGGTGCAAGGAAAGAGGACCTAGAATATAGATTTCAAATAGGGTGCAAGGAAAGATGACCTAGAATATAGATTTCAAATAGGGTGCAAGGAAAGAGGACCTAGAGTATAGATTTCAAATAGGGTACAAGGAAAGAGGACCTAGAGTATAGATTTCAAATAGGGTGCAAGGAAAGAGGACCTAGAATATAAATTTCAAATAGGGTGCAAGGAAAGAGGACCTAGAATATAAATTTCAAATAGGGTGCAAGGAAAGAGGACCTAGAATATAGATTTCAAATAGGGTGCAAGGAAAGAGGACCTAGAATATAAATTTCAAATAGGGTGCAAGGAAAGAGGACCTAGAATATAGATTTCAAATAGGGTGCAAGGAAAGAGGACCTAGAATATAAATTTCAAATAGGGTGCAAGGAAAGAGGACCTAGAATATAGATTTCAAATAGGGTGCAAGGAAAGAGGACCTAGAATATAGATTTCAAATAGGGTGCAAGGAAAGAGGACCTAGAGTATAGATTTCAAATAGGGTGCAAGGAAAGAGGACCTAGAATATAGATCTCAAATAGGGTGCAAGGAAAGAGGACCTAGAGTATAGATCTCAAATAGGGTGCAAGTAGAGAGGACCTAGAGTATAGATCTCAAATAGGGTGCAAGGAAGGAGGACCTGGAAACTTTGTTGGAAAAATGTTTTGATGAATGAATTTTAGCAATGATGAATATAAATTTAGACTACAAGGGGCGATTATTGTGCAGTTAAACTATGCAGACAGTCTAAATTAACTACAGTTTTAACTTTAATACCGATACCTAAAATGCAGATAGTCTATATTATATAATAGTGTATATAATGCTTATATGTGCTGCAGATGCTAAAACATTTTTATTTCAAAATTTAAATGAATTTTACATCAATATATTAAAGTAACGAATTTTACACAAAACCGATGACCAAAATATCTACTATGAGGCAAACAACATGGAATATGAAAGCTAGAGAAATATTCGTGAGACAGTTGGAGTGAAAAACATTATGCTATGTAAAACACTAGTGTAACCCAGGGCCCAGGCCTACGTGCCGAGTCTTCACTATCACAGTTGAAATGCAAAAGCATAATCCCGCTTATTCGAAAACACGCATTGCACTGTCGCAGTTAAAACGGTGCAAAAGTATAAAATCGCTCAGTCAAAGCATACTTCAATTCAATACTGAGTGCACCTCACGTATCTAATAGTAATACTTGATAGGCAAGCTTGCGGTCCACTGCCAAATTACCTAATTATATAGCAAATGTGTTATTGGAGTATGAGGGAGAGATAGAACGAGAGTGGGAGAGAAGGAGAGAACGTGAGACACTTAAGTATCACATTTGGGTCACAAAATCATCAATTAAAGGGGGGGGGGGGGGGGGGTGTCACGTCCGTCTATGTCCGCTTGTCTCATAGAATCCAAAAAGGACAGGACATAGGCGGACATAGGCGGACATAGACGGACATAGGCGGACATAGGCGGACACAGGCGGACATAGACGGACATAGGCGGACATAGGCGGACATTAATGGACACCTAAATTGCTAAATAAAATGTTCAATTTTTGCTGTTATAGAAGGATCATGTTTTTTGTCCGTTCGGTACCCTATATTTTCAAAACGGACAAAAAATAGAGCGGACAAAAACGGACAAAAATGGACAAAAACGGACAAAAATGGAAATAACATTTAGATGCTTCCTCCTCCTACTCTTCCTCCTCCTCCCCCTGGGTCTTCCTGATCTTCCTCAGTCCTCTTCCTCCTCCCCTCCTCAGTCCTCCTCCTACTCCTCCTCCTCGTCCTCAGTCCTCCTCATCAGTCCTCAACAGTCCTCCTCCTCCCCAGTCCTCCTCCTCCTCCTGGGTCCTCCTCCTGGGTCCTCCTCCTCCTCTTCATCCTCCTCCTCTTCCTCCTCAGTCCTCAGTCCTCCTTAGTCCTCCTCCTCATCCTTCTCCTCAGTCCTCCATCCTCCTCCTCAGTCCTCCCCCAGTCCCCCTCCTCCTCCTCCTATTCAGTCCTCCTCCTCCTCCTCCTCCTTCGCAGTCCTCCTCAGTCCTCCTCCTCCTCCTCTTCCCTCTCAGTCATCCTCCTCAGCCATCCTCCTCAGTCCTCCTCAGCCATCCTCCTCAGTCCTCCTCAGTCCTCCTCAGTCCTCCTTCTCAGTCCTCCTCCTCCTGGGTCCTCCTCCTCCTCTTCATCCTCCTCCTCTTCCTCCTCGGTCCTCAGTTCTCCTCCTCCTGGGTCCTCCTCCTCATCCTTCTCATCAGTCCTCCTCCTCCCCAGTCCTCTCCCAGTCCCCCTCCTTCTCCTCCTCCTATTCAGTCCTCCTCCTCCTCCTCCTCAGTTCTCCTCAGTCCTCCTTCTCATTTATCCTAAGTCCTCCTCCTGAGTCCTCCTCCTGAGTCCTCCTCCTCTTCCTTTTGAGTCCTCCTCCTGAGTCCTCCTCCTCCTCCCTCTCAGTCATCCTCCTCAGTCATCCTCCTCAGCTATCCTCCCCAGCCATCCTCCTCAGCCATCCTCCTCAGTACTCCTCAGTCCTCCTCCTTCTCAGTCATCGTCAGTCCTCCTCCTCAGTCCTCCTCAGTCCTCCTCCTCCTCCTGGGTCCTCCTGGGTCTTCCTGATCCTCCCCAGTCCTCTTCCTCCTCCCCTCCTCAGTCCTCCTCCTACTCTTCCTCCTCGTCCTCAGTCCTCCTCATCAGTCCTCAACAGTTCTCCTCCTCCCCAGTCCTCCTCCTCCTCCTGGGGCCTTTTCCTGGGTCCTCCTCCCCAGTCCTCCTCCTCCTGGGTCCTCCTCCTGGGTCCTCCTTCTCCTCCTCAGTCCTTCTCCTCCTCCTCCTCAGTCCTCTTCCTCCTCTTCCTCCTCCCTCTCAGTCATCCTCCTCAGCCATCCTCCTCAGCCATCCTCCTCAGTCCTCCTCCTTCTCAGTCCTCCTCCTCAGTCCTCCTCCTCCTGAGTCATCCTCCTCAGTTCTCCTCCTCCTCCTCCTAGGTCCTCCTTCTGGGTCCTCCTCCTCCTCCTCCTCCTCCTCCTCCTCCTGGGTCTTCGTGATCCTTCTCCTCCCTCTCAGTCATCCTCCTCAGTCATCCTCCTCAGTCATCCTCCTCAGCCATCCTCCTCAGCCATCCTTCTCAGCCATCCTCCTCAGTACTCTTGAGTGCTCTTCAGTCCTCAAAATGTTTGTCCGCTAATGTCCACCAATGTCCGCTAATGTCCACCAATGTCCATCCAAGTCCGCCAATGTCCGTCCGGGTCCGCCAATGTCCGTCCGGGTCCGCCAATGTCCGTCCGAGTCCGCCAATGTCCGTCCGAGTCCGCCAATGTCCGTCCGTGTCCGCCAATGTCCCAAAAAACACGTCCGTTGTCTCATAAAATCCAAAAAGGACAGGACATAGGCGGACATAGACGGACATGACACCCCCCCCCCCCCCCCCCCCCCATTAAACCACTTACCACCGGCCGATTTAAAAAAACTTAAGCTCGGTGCAGAAAACTGTAAAAAGTGAAATAAAAAGTTGGCCAGATGTTATCAAGAACAACAGCACCCAGAACAATCAGCAAAAACTGTGTAAGAAGCCGTGAGATCAGTGAATGACGAAGAAGAAAGATCGAGAAACTTGATTATCTACGGCGTTAAGGAGACTAAAGAAGGGGAGTAGGAGGACGCTAAGGAGACTGAAGAAGGGGAGTGGGAGGACGTTAAGGAGACTAAAGAAGGGGAGTAGGAGGACGTTAAGGAGACTAAAGAAGGGGAGTGGGAGGACGTTAAGGAGACTAAAGAAGGGGAGTGGGAGGTGACTAAAGAAGGGGAGTAGGCCCGAGTAGGAGGACGTTAAGGAGACTAAAGAGGGGGAGTGGGAGTACGTTAAGGAGACTAAAGAAGGGGAGTAGGAGGACACTAAGGAGACTAAAGAAGGGGAGTGGAAGGACGTTAAGGAGACTAAAGAAGGGGAGTGGGAGGACGTTAAGGAGACAAAAGAAGGGGAGTGGGAGGAGACTAAAGAAGGGGAGTGGGAGGACGTTAAGGAGACTAAAGAGGGGGAGTGGGAGGACGTTAAGGAGACTAAGAAGGGGAGTGGGAGGACGTTAAGGAAACTAAAGAAGGGGAGTGGGAGGAGACTAAGGAAGGGGAGTAGGAGGACGCTAAGAGACTAAAGAGGGGGAGTGGGAGGACGTTAAGGAGACTAAAGAAGGGGAGTGGGAGGACGTTAAGCAGACTAAAGAAGGGGAGTGGGAGGACGTTAAGGAGACTAAAGAGGGGGAGTGGGAGGACGTTAAGGAGACTAAAGAAGGGGAGTAGGAGGACGCTAAGGAGACTAAAGAAGGGGAGTGGGAGGACGTTAAGGAGACTAAAGAAGGGGAGTAGGAGGACGCTAAAGAGACTAAAGAAGGGGAGTAGGAGGACGCTAAGGAGACTAAAGAAGGGGGGTGGGAGGACGTTAAGGAGACTAAAGAAGGGGAGTAGGAGGACGTTAAGGAGACTAAAGAAGGGGGTGGGAGGACGTTAAGGAGACTAAAGAAGGGGAGTAGGAGGACGTTAAGGAGACTAAAGAAGGGGGGTGGGAGGACGTTAAGGAGACTAAAGAAGGGGAGTGGGAGGACGTTAAGGAGACTAAAGAAGGGGGGTGGGAGGACGTTAAGGAGACTAAAGAAGGGGAGTGGGAGGACGTTGACACTCTCCGGCCTTTATCAGGTCAGTTTTTGTACTGACCCCCTGGAGATATGCAGATTAAGTCAGTGTATCAGTGTCAGTGTCATATATATATGAAGAACGATTCAGAGAAAACGCGACCGATCCAAGTTGAGTTTCAAATCTCTAGCGATGTGGACATTATACTAAGGAATGCACACAAACTTAAAAACATGTAGATTTTAAGGTCCGGTAAAGTCTATCCGGCCCCTCACATTGCTAAATGGAACTAGAAAAGTCCTATCCCTCGTAGCCTTGAACAGAATCAATTACCACGTTGATATGTACACTGGACCTTGGCAGGCGGCATACAAGCAGGGTCGCAGTTGTGCTGACCTGGTTTGGTCTCAGAGAATGTTGACATCAGTGGTTACCAGGCGCGAGTTTGAGTATAGTAAAATCAACATTGACATGACCGCTGCGTTTAATACCATCCGCAGACAGACCATCATCAACCTCCTCATTGATGCAGGATGCTCTAGAGACGACATTCGCCTGGTTCAGTACCTCCTCTCAAATACAAAGCTCAAGGTGACGGTCAACAGAGCTGAGTCTGGTGAATTCGTGATTAATATTGGAGCTTACCAGGGAGACAGTCTGGCAGGTAAAGTGTTTACATTGACCCTTGCCGGTGCCCTGAATCACATCAGAGCCGTGATCAGTGTCACAATTCCTAGACCGAACCCCCCAGTCTCTGATAGAGGCCTCCCGTTAGAGTCCGCCTATGCTGACGAAGCTGAGCTTCTGAGTGAAGATGGTCAGAGTCTGGTGAAGATACTAGAAATTGCCAGTGACATACTAAAGGACTGGAGTCTCTTTGTTAACGAATCAAAGACGGTGTTTACAAGAGTGTATTTGGCAGAGACAGATGCTTTAGATGCCCATTTCAATAAAATCAGAGGAAATGAAGAGTGGCGAGAGTCAGTGCTATTAGGATCAAAGCTCTGTTCAGAAAGAGATATTGTCAACAGACGCAACAAAGCCAATGTTGCCTTCTACACCTACAAGAAAGTCTGGTTGAATAGTTCTGTTCAGATCAGTGAGAGTAGAAAGCTGAAGTTGTACGAAGCTCTTGTCACGCCAGTGTTGTTGTATAACTGTAGCAGCTGGGCTGCTCCTGAAACCGTAATGGCATCTGTCGACGTTCTTCAAAGGAAGCATCTGAGACAGATAATCAACACCTATTGGCCTACGGTTATCAGTAACGAGAACTTATATAAGAGATGTAATGTCAGTCCCCTTACTGAAAGGATCAAGAAAGCACGATGGAAGATGCTTGGGCACGTTCTCAGAAGCGGTGATGACACTCCCGCTTTCTTATCTTTTAGATTTGCATGTTTAGGATGTCTTGACTACAAAGGAAGGAGGGGCAGACCTCAAATTTATTTGATTTATTATTAAAAGACATTATGACGAAGAATATTATTGTGATTGTAAATAAAAGATTTAGTTTAAGTAATTTCAACGATTTAGTGTACAAAGCTCATGATAGACGTTTATGGAGAAGCTATGGGTGAGTCGAGACTACTCGGCCACTCGATTTTATGATTTATTTCCTATTATCTTGTGTTTGCTGTATATAGTTGATTAATAATAATAATAAGATTTTAAGTCAGTGTATCTTGCACCGGATAGGACAAAAGAGCAGAGAAGGATACACAGTGGACTTGTCAAAAAGATGAAAGAACTAAATAAAGCAGGACAATTGCAAAAATCAGAGGCAATAGTTCATTGTTTTAGTGAGATGTAATTGTAAAGCCTTATAGATACAAGTACACTGAGTGTAATCAGAATTTGTATATGTTTAAATGTTCTTATTCTTTATCTACGTGCCGAATCACTGCCGATACTGTGTAGTTTGTTATACATAGTAATTAGTATGTGTTTAGTGTAAGTTTATTCTATAAACCGTTTTCAATATGTATTATTTACGATGCAGGAGTTTGTGTGGAGTTTAAGGTAGAAGAAAGAACTGTGGCTCATATTTAAAAAAAATATTTATGTCAAGGCATAATACTATATTTAGCTCTATACTATACTATGTTAAGGTCAGCCTTGATCCGTTGCGGGTCTGGTAAGTAGGTGCGGGATAGTTTTCTCGGCACTATACCGAAAAAACCAGCCACGTACCTCTTACCATGCCATACCATACTGATCTAGCTCAGATCAGTGGTCTCCGAAATAATTATTATGATAATTTCCAAACCTCACCACAACATGTACCCGTAACTATTTCAGCTGTAGAGGAGGAAGTTCTGCCCCCTCCCTCTCCCAAGAAGGCTGGTGAGGGTTATTCAGCTCCAAAACCGCAAGTTACATACAGACCCTATACTTTAAAAGAGTACGGAGCAATGAAGAGAAGTTTTGGTTACAGAACAGGTGGACTAGGACCTGATACCTTAAATACTGCTTATAAATCAAAGGTTAGTTTAGTTACAGAGCAGGTGGACTAGGACCTGATACCTTAAATACTGCTTATAAATCAAAGGTTAGTTTAGTTACAGAACAGGTGGACTAGGACCTGATACCTTAAATACTGCTTATAAATCAAAGGTTAGTTTAGTTACAGAACAGGTGGACTAGGACCTGATACCTTAAATACTGCTTATAAATCAAAGGTTAGTTTAGTTACAGAACAGGTGGACTAGGACCTGATACCTTAAATACTGCTTATAAATCAAAGGTTAGTTTAGTTACAGAGCAGGTGGACTAGGACCTGATACCTTAAATACTGCTTATAAATCAAAGGTTAGTTTAGTTACAGAGCAGGTGGACTAGGACCTGATACCTTAAATACTGCTTATAAATCAAAGGTTAGTTTAGTTACAGAGCAGGTGGACTAGGACCTGATACTTAAATACTGCTTATAAATCAAAGGTTAGTTTAGTTACAGAGCAGGTGGACTAGGACCTGATACCTTAAATACTGCTTATAAATCAAAGGTTAGTTTAGTTACAGAGCAGGTGGACTAGGACCTGATACCTTAAATACTGCTTATAAATCAAAGGTTAGTTTAGTTACAGAGCAGGTGGACTAGGACCTGATACCTTAAATACTGCTTATAAATCAAAGGTTAGTTTAGTTACAGAGCAGGTGGACTAGGACCTGATACCTTAAATACTGCTTATAAATCAAAGGTTAGTTTAGTTACAGAGCAGGTGGACTAGGACCTGATACCTTAAATACTGCTTATAAATCAAAGGTTAGTTTAGTTACAGAGCAGGTGGACTAGGACCTGATACCTTAAATACTGCTTATAAATCAAAGGTTAGTTTAGTTACAGAGCAGGTGGACTAGGACCTGATACCTTAAATACTGCTTATAAATCAAAGGTTAGTTTAGTTACAGAGCAGGTGGACTAGGACCTGATACCTTAAATACTGCTTATAAATCAAAGGTTAGTTTAGTTACAGAGCAGGTGGACTAGGACCTGATACCTTAAATACTGCTTATAAATCAAAGGTTAGTTTAGTTACAGAGCAGGTGGACTAGGACCTGATACCTTAAATACTGCTTATAAATCAAAGGTTAGTTTAGTTACAGAGCAGGTGGACTAGGACCTGATACCTTAAATACTGCTTATAAATCAAAGGTTAGTTTAGTTACAGAGCAGGTGGACTAGGACCTGATACCTTAAATACTGCTTATAAATCAAAGGTTAGTTTAGTTACAGAGCAGGTGGACTAGGACCTGATACCTTAAATACTGCTTATAAATCAAAGGTTAGTTTAGTTACAGAGCAGGTGGACTAGGACCTGATACCTTAAATACTGCTTATAAATCAAAGGTTATTTGTGATTTTGACACCACCTAGGGGACCAATTTGCGGGACTTAGAGTATTTATTCCTTGACCAATTTTTTATTTCGACCCAGCCAAAAAAGTTTCAATAGTATGTCGTTCACGGTTTTCGCGGTAACGCCTTAACATGCTCAAAACCATGCTTTGGGGTGCTTCATTTGTAGCTACTAGTCTCCTGAACACAAATATAAAGTTTTATCAAAATTGGATAAAAATTGGCTGAGTTATGAGTAAAATACTATATTACCATATTTGGGCATATGCACCAATTTTGATAGATTTTAACCCATAAATTGGTCAATTATCAATGTTTTTAGATGAGACAAACTTTGCACATTTCAGAATTTGGCAGCCAAAGTTTTTTAAATGCCCAACTCAAAATTCCACTCCAAAACTTAAGGTCATTAGGCAATTCTACGTTGGTTCTGAAAATTTCATGAAATAATATTGAAACCCTATTGAATTCTATTATTTTGAGCGAAATCAGTTTCGCGAATATCGCGAACTGAGAAATGGTCGATTTTGTTCATTTTTTGCGATTATTTGAACACAGAATCCACAGTTAGGTAGATATTGAGCTGATAAACATAGAGAATGTGTAGTATAGGCTTACCTTTCATATAAAACTGATATATTACTGGTGCCGCTCGCTTACAAGTAAATGTATTATCTCAGTATCTCAGCTCAGCGTCCAGACTTAGTAACACAGCTGGAGTTGCTGATACGACAAGGTGTTCACTTTTTGAAGCAATAACTAACTTCCCGCTAACTTCTACAGTGTATTAACATATGACATAAAAGATTCGTTTTCACTTGTTTGCATGAAAAGCATTAATTGAAAAGAGGTTTTGCCGCTTTTCATAAAAAATGGAACAAATGAGTGTCTCTTCATGGTCAGCTCCTCGCCATGTTGATTAGCAGTTTTCTCTCAGATGTGTCCTTGTACCTCGTCCCATACCCGAGGCCAGTCGTGCCTACTAACTCTTAGTTGTGAATTTGTGACGTCATGACAAGTGGTGTGGTCTTTCAGCTCTTTGGGATAAACCTCATGGTAAAAATACACTTTTTTGATGTGGGGCCAGGGGTCACTTGAGTTACAAAATTGATGTCCCTTAATTAGGAGGTGCACTACTATAATAATATGTAGATGTTCTTCAGCTGCAATCCTTTCTGGTCTCTACTCCTGTAGAGGACGTTGTGGTACAAGGATGTGCAGTCCCTGGCCACGTTTCAAGGAATATATTACACATTGCCTCAAGCTCTCTCACTTATGTGGTGGGAAGGTTGTATACAGTAAACCCCATTCCCATGACATCTTAATAATGATGAGGTGGTTATAAACCTGTCGCTTCTAACATAACAATAATTAAGTATCCGAAAAGTTGAATGGGATAAATTGAAACTACTAATTCTCTAAATAAGGTCAAAAACATTAAGCACACCTTACTCTCAGTTATAGTATAGCGGGATCCTGTGTTCCTCTATATTATATGGATTAAGATATAGAATATATCAAAACAAACAAGTTCTATAGAATATATCAAAACAAACAAGTTCTATAGAATATATCAAAACAAACAAGTTCTATAGAATATATATCAAAACAAACAAGTTCTATAGAATACATCAAAACAAGAAAGTTCTATCAAACCTAAGTATTAAATTGTTACAATAATATAAATAGTTCATGACACAATGTTTTAGGATTTATAACATATAAAAAAGTAATTTAACTCGAAAAGAAAGTATTTAGTTGATAAGATGATTGCTCAAATCAGACAGTTCCAACTTGAAAAGGTTTAGTTTCATAGAGGTAAAGGTAGGGCTACACCACGTGTCATGACGTCACACCACGTGTCATGACGTCACACCACGTGTCATGACGTCACACCACGTGTCATGACGTCACACCACGTGTCATGACGTCACACCACGTGTCATGACGTCACACCACGTGTCATGACGTCACACCACAAGTCATGACGTCACACCACGTGTCATGACGTCACACCACGTGTCATGACGTCACACCACTTGTCATGACGTCACACCACGTGTCATGATGTCACACCACGTGTCATGACGTCACACCATGTGTCATGACGTCACACCACGTGTCATGACGTCACACCACGTGTCATGACGTCACGCCACGTGTCATGACGTCACACCACGTGTCATGACGTCACACCACGTGTCATGACGTCACACCACGTGTCATGACGTCACACCACGTGTCATGACGTCACACTAAAGGTAGGGCTACACACTTTCTTCTTATCTTCCTCTTCTCGTATTGCTAGAGTAGACAAGCTGTCAGTAAGAAATAGAACCATTCCTACTTATAGGGCTGAACTAAAAGTTAAGTGCGGAAAGCCGAAAGTCATTACAGAATTACCAAATTATATCAATCAACCATTCTCATATTTTCCACTATTGAGTTAGCACTTACCATTTCATGGGAGTGTGCTGAGTTGTTACAGAGCGCGCCGCACACGTGCAAGTTGGGTAAACGTTCTCATAGCAGACTGCAACATCTCGCAAAATACCTGCAGCCGGTTTGGCGAATATTAGAAAACATGCACTATTTTTAGAAAACATGCACTATTTAGCTATTTTTGTCACATTTTTTACTAAAATGTTTGTAAACCAAATTATCATCTTCCACTACAGGATTTTAAAATGCAACTAATTTTAGCTCGAAAATTAAATTTTATTTGCAAATAATTATCACAAATGAAAATATATAATGTCGGTATGGATTAATCTTATTGCCTAAATGAATTGATTTTATACCTTAACCAAGTACAGCGATTGAATGATAAGTAAGCGTTAATTTGCTGAATTTAAATTTTAGTATTTTGAAAAAAACGGGTCAGCGGGTCTTTTCATGAAGCATAGTGAGTTAATTTAGTGTCAAACGTCCCCAAAACCCCTTTTTGAAAGCCCCCCACCCCGTGGCATGACGTCACAACCCCCGTTTTCAATAAGGGCACAAACCCCGTGTCATGACGGGCAAAAACTTAATAATAGTTTTTATTAGAACTTAAAAGGGTCAGGGCGGGCGTCCCCATGAAGCAGAAGTAGAGTCTACCTTGGGGTTTGGGGTCCCCCAAAACCAACCCTGTCTTTACGTCACACCCCCCGGGCAGACGTTTACAAAATTAAAAATAGTATTAATTTAACTAAAGGGTCACGGGTCGTCTCATGAAGCATAAGTGAGCACAATTTAGTGTCTTTACGTCACACCACGGGGTCATGACCCTCACACCACGTGGGCAAGACGTCACAAACCCCTGTCATGACGTCCCCAAAAAACCACGTGCCCCTACGCCCCCTTAATTTAAAAGTATTTTTTGAACTAAAGGGTCAGGGGTTTGTTCAAAGAAGCTTTGTGAGTCTCCAAATTTAGGGGTTGTGGGGTTAGAATCCTCCCCTTTTTTGTAGGTATCTCAGTGCTTCCGGAGGAAAATTGGGCGAAGTTCAAACTTTTCCCCCGGGTTTTTTAAAATCCCCCACCTTCTGGGTATCTCTTCTTTTTTAACCCATAGGAACTCCAGGGGCGTTACCTGGCCACGCAGCTATAACCGTGGGGGTCCTAAAAATTGTTTTTAAAATTTATTTCGGCAAAAAGGGTTTTTAAATTTAAAAAAAATTTTACCCCAGGGTCCTAAACTTGGGGGTTTTGTAGAGGGAGTAGGAGAAAAAATGAGTTACAAACCAGAAGTCTCATCAAGAACTGCCGAGATTTGTTTTTCCCTTTTTGTATCGTTCGTTTTTTAGGGGCATTTCTTAACTATTTTTTCTTCGTTTCTGTCTTCTTGGCAATTTCTGGGGCTTTTTTCTTGTCCCGATCCCCCAAAAAGGGTTTCGTGTCAGGGGGGCTTTATTCAGTCCCAAATTAGCAAAACTCACAGCTTGGGGGCCAAAACTTTCAAACAGGGGGGCCCTAAATTTACAAACAGGGGGCCACACTTTCAAACAGGGGACCACATTAAAAAGCAGGGGGCTTTTTCACAGCAGGGGCCACACTTTAAAAAAGGGGACCACACTTAAAGCAAAGGGACCCCACTTACAAACAAAGGGGGGGGCCCCACTTAAAAAGCAGGGGGGGCCAAAACTTACAGCAGGGGGGCCCACTTTCAGCAGGGGACCCCCCTTACAGCAGGGGCCCCACTTTCAAAACAGGGGGGCCCCCTTACAGCAGGGGGGCCACACTTTTCAAGGGGGGGAAACCCCAATTACAAACAGGGGCCCACACCTTTCAAGGGGGGGACCCCACTTACAGCAGGGGGGCAATTTTTCCCGCAGGGGCCACACTTTTTGCAGGGGGGGATTTAAGCAGGGGGCCACACTTTCAGGGAGGGGGCATATTCACCCGCAGGGGCCCCCATTACAGCCCGGGACCCCACTTTCAGGGAGGGGGCAAATTTTACCCGCAGGGGGCCACCTTAAAAAGCAAAGGGGGCCCCCATTACAGAGGGGACCACACTTACAGCAGGGGGGCCACAAATTACGCAGGAGACCACACTTACGCAAAGGGGCCCCACCCTTTCAGCAGGGGGCCACAATTACAGCAGGGGGGATATTCAAAACAGGGGACCACACTTACAGCGGGGGGTAAAATTTAAAGAAAGGGGGCCACACTTACACAGGGGGGCCCAAAACTTACAGCCGGGGGGGGAAAAATTTTACAGCAGGGGCCACACTTAAAAAAGGGGGGCCCAAAAATTTTCAGCAGGGGACCCCACTTCAAACGGGGCAACACTTACCGCAGGGGGGCCAAATTTCCCGAGGGGGCCCCCACTTACAGCAGGGGACCCCACTTAAAAGGGAGGGGGGGCATATTCACAGCAGGGGGCCCCACTTACAGCCGGGGGGGGTATTCACAGCAGGGGGGCCCCACTTACAGCAGGGGACCACACTTACAGCAGGGGGATATTTACAGCAGGGGACCCACTTCAGCAGGGGACCCACACTTACAAACAGGGGACCCACCCCTTACGCCCGGGGGACCACACTTTTCACAGGGGATCCCATTACAGCAGGGGCCCAACTACAGCAGGGGGCCCCACTTACAGCAGGGGGACCCCACTTACAGCAGGGGATTTCCCCTTTTCAGGGAGGGGACACACTTACAGCGGGGGCCACACTTTCAGCAGGGGCCCCACTTACAGCGGGACCACACTTACAGGGAGGGGGGCCACAAATTACAGAAAGGGAAACCCCAAATTTCCGCAGGGGACCACACTAACCCCAGGGGAAACCCCACTTACAGCAGGGGGGTATTCACAGCAGGGGGGCCACCATACAGCAGGGGCCCCCACAACGGCAGGGGACCACACTTTTTGGAGGGGGCCACACTTACACCCGGGGGGGCCACACTTACGGGAGGTGACCACACTTAAAAAGCAGGGGACCACACTTACCCCGGGGGGGGGGGGCAATTTGCTTAACCCTAAAAAATCAACCCAAAATTTATCTCACTTAACCCTTTTTTTCACATTAATTAAAAGGACCAGTGACCCTCATAACAGTGAAATAACCCTTTGGGAAAAAAAACGTTTTTTTTTGATGCTGAAGTTAGGGTTTTTGGGCCCCGCTGATAACTGGGTTTTGGCCTCCTGCCAGGGCTCTCCCGTTTTTTCTGGTGTTCAGGGGGTCCCGAAGCCTAAATAGTTTTTTGGGAGCGAGAACCTGTGAACTGATATAGGGCTGCAACTGTGGAAAAGCTTTTCTTTTGCCCTTGGGGAGGGATCACTGCATCACGTGACGTTTGCGAAATCTCGTGACGTCACGTGAGACTGCAAATGAGGGAATCATACGGGCCCGCTACCCGTTCTTTTCGGCAGATAATTTGAGATTGGGCTTGGAGCATGAAAGAATTGGGCTGCTGGAGATTTTAACCCACGGTGCTTTTTTTTTGGAGCAGGGCAAGTGGGGGGTTTTCAAGGCCCGGGAAAGTTGGTTTGGGGTTTTTAAAAAAGGAAATGTGGGGGCGGGAAATCTGGAAGGGTTTAGAAAAAATGGGGGCTGCAGACTGGTGGGGGCGGTTTAAAAGCAAAGGGGGGGTTGAGAGTTTAAGTTAATTTTTTTGGATAGAAAGAAGGGAGGCCCCTTGTAAAAAGCCCGCGAGTTCCCAAAATCTGGGGGGAAAAGAGGGAAAATTTTCTAAACATGGGGCACCCCCCAAAGTATTAAAGTGTATCTCCAATTTCCCCTCTACTGGACTATCAAAGATAAGTCCTGTTTTTGTCTTTAGGTACCCGGGTTTTCATTCCCCCCACCAAATACGCCAAAAGATTCCGGAGGAATGGAAATTTTTTGAAAGTGGGGTCATTGTCATATTTTTCTGTTCCAGGAACTGGGCTTGGGGTGGGGCCTGGAAAAAATTTTTCAATTAGTGGTTATTTCCCTTTTTTGTAAAAAAGATTTGTGAAAAATTTAAATTTATCATTT